CGTGGCCGCCCCCCGAGGGCCGCCAGCCGGAGCCAGGCGGGATGGGGTCCGGGGGACTTAAAATACCCGACGGGCCGCCCCGCAAGCCCGGGACCCCCGACGTTTCACCCATGACCCCGAGAGCACCCCCGGGTAGAAGAGCGCCCCGCCCCGCGGGCCCAACGCCCTAACGCCCGTCCACGAGAACAGTCACCTGCGCTCGCTTTCCTCGTCGCGACGGCTCTGTTCACCCGGGAAACAGCAACTTCCGGCCCGCGGCGGAAGCGGAAAGCCTTCTCTTCCATTTTAAGTCCCGCCTACCTTCCGCCTGAACAGCTTGGGGAGCAGGCCCCGCCTCCTTCAGCGACTGCCTGTGCGCATGCGTGCTTGAATTCCGGCGCGACGGCGGAGTGGCACTGCGTCTGCGCGAGCTCCGAGTGCGGTGTTGGCCAAGCGCCACGCGATTCTTCCAGGGCAGTTCCTCCCACGGTCATTCGCGAGCTTCAGATTCGTCTGGGTCGCATCAATTTCTGGAGATCTCTCTCTTATCTTCTCCACCAGTTCCAGCCCTAGCCCCTTGCAGACCACTGGGTTCCCGCACACCTGTTACTATTCAGTTCATTCAGATATCCCAGCGCTGGTGTAGCAGGTGGCATGGAGGTTAAGGCGGCTGGATCCCACAATTTAGTAGTTTGAATCCCAGATCTGGCGGCTTGAAAAACATGCCAAGCGTGTGTGCAGGGGTGCCCAGAATCCGGAGAGGAGAAGAGGGGAAGGGATTGCAGTATGGCCATCCCAACTGGGGGTGATTTCTCATTTGCCCCTTGCAACAGGTGCAGAAACACTAAAGCATTCCTCACCACCACCACCACCAAGAAGTACCGGGGCTAAGGAATATAAGTATCCTCAGCGAGGGAGAAGACCGTGGATCTTAAAACTCAAGTTTCTGAAGCAACAGGGCGGGCACAGTGGGGCCTGACAGATTACGTTTGTAACCAGCTCCCACATGGAGGTCTGTTTTGTCGGTCCGACCACAGTTTGAATGACATGTGGTCATTCAAAGATGATGGTGGTTAGCGATGGTGGGGATCAGATCGCAAAGATGGGGGTCATGTGAAGGCCTTCCATTGTATTTTAAGTAGAAAAGTGATTTGGGTTTGAGGGTTTGGGTTTTTTTTTTTTTTTTTTTTGG